GAATCTGCAAATTTAATCCACAATAAGAATACATTTTTTGTAACATTGTAAAGGAACATATGGGTTTTTAAAATCAAATTATTCCAAATCATTATACCATTTAAAAATTGAGAAAACGTCTGAGGATCACTAGTATCCTAAATCTTTTATTTTACAAAAATTTTATCCACAAAAAGATACCAAGTTTAATGTAAATTCCATTATATTTTATACCAGCATTGGTGGTACACGTAACAAAATTGCTAACATACATGAAAACAAACTATCGACAAAACTATACAAAGCTTGCTGATATAAAATTATTGACTAAAACTTTACTTGATTTTGTTGTTTGTGACCCTATCCTGTAACTCTTAACAGCAATATTGATATCATTGTGTCGTTGCACAGCTATTTTATTATATGAAATATCTGCGCAATGACACTATAAGGATATCGACACTGTCGCTCAGAGTTACAGAATAAAGTCACTGGTTATACAAACAGTTTTGCAAATTATAAGTTTATTACTGACACAGATGGCTTTAGATTTATTAACAAATCTGAACGAGTTTAATGTCAATATGCTAGCAATTTGTATATTGAGACGATACCGATATTGTTGGTAAGAGTTACAAAAATGGAATACTAGACCCTATGTTCCTATTACAGATTAATATTTACTATATATAATAACATCTACAACTTAACTGGTACTCGTTATGTCCTCACCTAAGAGTGGATCCTCTAACAAATTCATTGGGATGCTGCAGATCTTTCCTATATGCGTCACATACTAGAATCATTTCCTGCAACAGCTTGCCATCAGCAGAGGTTTTTGGCACAATCTCCCAGAATATCAGCAGCAGCTTCTTGATGGTATGATTCTGTAGAGGCAGGACGAACCTAATGATCGTCATTAGGAGTCCCGGCAATCGTTCACCACTTAAAATCATGTGAATTGTCTTCTTGAGCGCACTGATTTTTGTCTTGACGCTACCCTTCTCGAGATCCTGCTTCAACTGGAGTTCATTGAGCGGTTCTGTGTCGGTAGGGATGTTTATCAAAGTGTAACACGGTTGCTCAGTTATTGTGCTCATTTTCTTAGTTTTTTTTGCAACACCGTACTGAGAAGAAAGTTATCTTACGATCTGTGAAAACGATTAGAACTTTAATAATATCATCAATATTACCGCAAAAATAAGTTCTATGCGTGAAAAAAAAAAGGGAACAAGTAATGTGTAAGGTTATGTATTCGCATTCTGGCACATTGCATGTATTATTCGAGTCAAAGCCTGATACAAGATGTTTACAAACAATGAATAAGGTACATACCTAAAATCAAAGCTGAGAAATACACACGTAAATGAGGGCCTGTCAAAGTTTACTGGCATTTAGATCCATATGGAGGCAGAGAAAATCTATATACGTGTCATACGCATGATGTATATAAGAGTCCACAACATAAGACCGGAAGGACGCCATTGCCGGGTACCGGCCGGAAACGGCACAAATGACGAGCGCGCCATTTAAAGTTTCGTAATGTTCACAAATATCCGTAATTGTTAATTAGATCAAATTGCATGTATACACTTTGGTGGCTCGAGATAAGAGACTTGTAGTGTCTATTATTAATCTTTCAAACTATAACTTAAATTAACTAGTAGTTTTTTTTACCATAACCGTTATACAACACACTATTAGTAATTTAGAAAACAAATTTTTATAAAACTAAAATTTTATTCTATTAGATTATTATTTAACAGAATAAAAATATGATGGTTCTATACTTTTAAACATATTACATACTCCTGCATTTCTGTAATCTACAAACTTTTGTTTCAACCCAATTTTAATACATTTCGGCGATGCTTTCTTCACTTTTATACTTATCTATACTTTTTGTCTCTCCCCCTCTCTCTCTCTTTTTCTCTTTCTCTCGTAATGATAATTTTATACGATAATAAAATTAATATTCTTATATATACGTGCGGCATCGCACATAATATGCAGACGAATAAAAGCAAATCAAATATATGTCTGCCCGAATATGCTTTTGACACGTACACTGGATATAAGAACATTATTAAAAGAGGGACAAGTCATAGCTCCGATTTTATGTAGAACGATCGTAAAGTAAGATGCATCTGTATCAATCTGGAGCATGTGGGTTCATGCTGATTTTAACAATATTAGGAATTACATGTGAGATCTCGTGGGCCAATAAACAATGTAAGACAGTCGTGATGGATGTACACGTGAAAAGGTGTAGACTCGGTACTGAGAGAGCCAAGAGGGGCTTGGAAAAATTTGATCTGCAGAAATACACTGAGAAGTACGAAGCTAAGAGACAAGAAGAGGCTGGTAAGCGAATAGGATTTTAACATACATCTCTTATGTAAAAGTAAAATATACAAAAGCAAAAGATGTTTACACATCATTACTCAAACTCTAGATTAGAGTCATCTCTACTTATTAAGACAAAATCTTAAGATAAAAACAATCATTTTTTTATTATATACGATTAAAGATCGTTTTAAGTAAAGTTTTATGATGCCATAAATCACAGAGCTACGACGTTTTTCTTTATATATAACTTACAAAAGAAATACTTAAAATAACTGGACTTGAATACAGGCCTGTGAGCATCTGATTAATAATAATAATAATTCCGTTTTTAGATTATTCGAAGCTGAAAAATTCGGGGTCGCACGGCGTTCCACAGAAAAGGCAACTGACACCCGAACAAGTCAGCAGTATTGCCTTACCAATTGTCGCGGAAGCTATAAATGGCGCTTCTAAAGCTCATCGAGCATACACAGAGTTTGGAACAGAATATGATGACTCCAACTTGAGCCTAACGGGATCCACTCTTGGTTGGCCAGGATATTATCTCAAGGCGCCTTATCCCTTCGGCGGGGGTTCCGTACCCTTCCGCACTCCGGTAAGCTAATCGCCTCTGGGCGATCCAGTCTATTATTTATAAGAAGCGGACTCCTAATCGGTCCATCAAGCTCAATATTGCGCTCCATTAAGTCGCTTCATGAACTAAAACGCTTCGCGATCGTGTGATTCATCTCGTTGTAATTGTTCGTTAATGTTAAAAAAGAAGCTTTTAGATGTAAACGTGGCAAATAAACACCGATAACTCGATAAACAGCGTAACAATAAAAATGTTTTAACGTATAACGTGTCACGCGTTCTGCGCTATTTATGTGATTAACATGTGTGTGTATGCAACTACAACTGCGCTGTATGCAAATTCCTCCGACGATGTAACGTCTCAGCTTCTCTCGACTAACTCACAACAAGATAAACAGACGGTATCAAAACACGCTCAAATCAAGATGAATAATTTTAACAGTATCGTATAATGTATAATAACTAACATAATTATAAATGTTAACCCTCCGGAGCTGACATCAAAGTACACGTAATATATACGATTATTGACGATGAAGTTATATAATAAGCCCTATCTATTTATTTATATTAAAATTAAAAGACATTAATTAATTTCAAAGACGCGAAATATATATATATATATATACATATACTCGTATAAAATAATTGCTAAATAAATTTTAATAAGAATAATCTAGAAACAGATATGAAAAAAATTGATTTGTTTAACATTTTTGACAGAGATTTATATATATATTTTACACGAAATTCACACAATAAACTGTCAGCTTCGGAAAGTTAATGCAGGAATACGTTAGTAAATAATTTGAAAAAGAAAAATAATAAAAGTTTTATCAAACGGGGATAGTAAATCTAAATATCTAAATATAAAAGCAAGAGAAAAAAATCAGACTGGCATGAATATTCGGCAGGCCTATAACAACGATCTCAATCTGAATGCTGAAGAACTGGATGAATTGTACAATGATATCTACGAAAGGCTACCGAGAGCTTCGAAAGACGAAGCTTGGAAGATTTTTTTAGAAATAGCCTCGAAGTGCTGTCAAAATGCCGACAAGTGTCTCAAAGAAATGACACACGTACCTTGCCTTGGAATGTCTTGATTGTCACAATGATTATCCGTAATCGACGCCTAATTGTTCATTGATGTTGTATATAGTGATAATTAATGGTCAGCAGTCAGCACTATCAACATTTTTTAACATTTACAAAAAAATTATCATTTAATATAAAATTTTGAATGACATAAATAACTAAATAACAATGTAAAGTAAAGAATGCCATCATACACCCTAAGATATGATCCACTTAACGCTGCAAGTCCAAAGCATTCTTTTAATTGATCAATTCATAAAATTCTTTCTTCTGACTGATCAATGAAGCATTTGCAACGTTAAGTATATCGTTCTTCTTTATGAGATGTGTGATTTATTTGCAATTACTCTAAATTAAAATCCCTTAAAACAAGTAAAAGAGCACATATAAAAATTAGAAATACAGCTTTGATAAGAAATATAAATTTTTATTATTTTGTTACTTTTTCTTTGGATTTTATTACCGCTTTACGTTCTTACTTTTCCAAAAAAAAAAGAAATGCAATAAATTAAAAGAGTTTTATACTTAGTTAGCCAAATTTGATCCAAACTGTACAATAAAAAAATTTGTTTATTATCTTACTTTGCATCATTTTAATTCTCAATCAGTTTCTTACTTTTGTACGAGGATGAAGTATAAATGAAATACCAGCCAATATGTATAAATGTTTATTGGTTGCTATTATAAATGTAGATGTCACTGAAAATTTTAAATGACAAATAAAAAGAAAGTACGCTATTTAATATGTGTCGCGTGATAAAACTTCCGTGTGTCTACATATTACCTCTCCTCCAAACTTTCAGAATCTACATCTTTTATTAATTAAAACCTAAAATTCCGCATTTGAATCTCGTCCGTTTCCCGACAGACTAGAGTAAAGTACGCGTTCGTCATATTTCAATGATAAATGACTCTAAGCTAAATTTTAAATTTAAAACAAAGCTTTTAATACTAATGAGATCAATTGTCAATAAAACTAAGATCACCACACAAATGTCCGGTACGGGCTGCTTCTCGCGCCTGCAAACACTTGTATTCAAATCACTTAAGTCTTTCTTTTTTTCTTTGCGACATTATTGCGCTACCCGATTGCATTCAAATTGTATTCAAGTTCACTACAATTGCATTTTCGATATTCAAGTCAGCGATTCCCCCACGAGTTGTCATCGAAACACACTTTTTTAACGACATTGTTCTTGATAGAAAAGCAATGGAATAATCTAAAACAGCACATCTGTCCCGTCAATGTCGCCATCGAGCAATTGATCCTCCACGCTTCCACAATCACGAATTCTTCCATGTCAAAACTGATGGATGACACTATTCGCCGCACGTCGCGTCGTCGCATTTCGGCATCTATTAACACTAATGTGCGTGATGAGACTGGATTCCTTATAAATAATATCTCTTTTACACAAATTCTTTCAATTCGATTTATCTCTTCTCAGATCTCTTCTCTATTAGCCATCATCCGTGTGCAAACTCCATTAATTGTTTAAATGTGTGATCAAGAGAAAGTGGCAAATCGAAGATTGGCATTGGAGAATCAACTTCGCTCTAAATCGTTTCGAACAACGTAGGTTCGTCAGTCATTAATGATGTTAGAAATTTGTTGCCTAGAGATTTAACGTTGCTGCGTAAAACCTGTAACAATAGATAGCGCTTGCGTTACGATCGTTTAAAACTCCTTAAAGTTTGAGAATTATCTTAAAATTATTGTTTATGGAATTATATTTATACAAGACAAAGCACATGCAAAGTAATTAATGGCTGTGCGAAGCTGTTCTGTAACTTCACCATGGCGACAAATCAAACATCATGCAAAATGAAAAAAAGAAACGAAAGAAAATACAATAACACCTATCTATAATTAGTTTTAGATGCAAACACACAGACTTTTATAGAATCAAAAACATAGAGCATGGACTACACCATCTACATATATATATGTATGTATATATATATATATGTAAAACTGATCGATAAAAATGAGAGAAAAAATCACAATATGTTAGAAAAAAAAAGGAAATTGACCATCTTTACACTCCCTCTCTCTCTCTCTCTCTCACACACTCACACATTTGATATACTATTTAGATACGAAAGGCACAGTTCATGTGGTATGTTTTTTGTGCAAAATATAAGTTAATTTTAAAGTAACTAAAGTGTGATATAAAAGCAGTAGTAAAAGCAGTGCGCGACGCCGTAAACGGCGTAAACAACAATCATATCAAGCGTGATTACTCTTCAGATACACGTACAAATTTTAAATAACAGGAATTCGGTATTAAGATAAAGATGATTTGATTTGAGAAGTAAAATTTTTTCCTTTAAATATTTCCTTTCAACCGTCCTTCGATTTAAGAAAACAAATGTTATATGAAACTAATTTTTATAAGTGAACATCCCAAAAATTTTGATTTGTACATACACTAAGAAAAAAACTTGTAATATTTATGATTTAATTGCATGGTAAAATATTATGGTTAAGATATCCATTTTTATTACTACTATAATATTAATAATATTAATAATAATTATTCAATGCAGTAAATTCAAGTATGACATGTTGAATAATTACATATTGTTAGATAAGAGAAATAAAATTGTATTGCGGATGTTAATAGCGTATGATTAGCAAAGAAACAGTTAGGTTATAGTTGAAAAGAAAGAGTTCACAAATGCGACAGAGTTCATAAATAAGAGCAAAGTTCTATCTACATCTATCGTAAAAACTTTAATCGTAAGAAAAGAAGCTATCGTAAGCATTGTCTGTCATAAAATCACATTACGACCTGTGTCGTACAACTAATCATTTATCCATAGCTAATGTTTTATAATAAAATTTTATACCATGAAGAGGAATAAATTAATTATTGTGTACTTCAACATTAATAATACAAAACTACCTAGTAAGTTACACCCCAATGAGAAATAACAGTAAAATCGACATTGAATTGATGTCGGTTCGACGTCGATTCCATTGTCATTTCTCACTGGGACTATTAACGTTCCTATTAGTTGTAGTTTCCAACTTACAATGAAACGTTCCCAAGTGTGATAAAATGTTTTACAATAATTCCAAACTTTGCAAATTTGTTACTTGAATTATATATATACAGGGTGTTTCTTAAATAATGCTCACTAATTATATATAGAGCTATTCCTGATAAAAAAACTGTCGAAAATCCTCTATTATTTTGCAATTTTCGCAATATTCTTTTTATTACCCGATGAACAAAATATCTGAAATTGACGCATAAGACAACTTTAAGATATCTTTTAAGAATTCTTTTAGAAACATCTTCAAAATATTTCATAAATAACACTGTATGACATTTTAAAATTGTCATATGCATCGATTTTATCCGTTTATTCGGTAACCTTTAGAAATTAATATTCCGTTAACTATCGCAAAAATTGCAAAATGGTAGAGGACTTTTTAACTCAGTTTTTTGTTATCAGAAATAGCACTATATGATTAGTGGGGGTTATTTAAGGAAATATAATAAATTAAAAGTTAAAATGTAAGTATTAAATAAAATCTAATCTAACAAAGCAAAAATTATACTGGTAAAACAAAAATATACGTTTAAAATTAATATAATTTTCTTCTTTTCTCTTATTTTTCATAAAAAATATACGTATTTTTTTTTGTTATGTTACTAAAGTTTTAAAAGGTTCGAAGTAAGAGAGAAATTTTAAAATCCCGAGCGTACGTAGGTGGTAATGCAACTAAAATGACTATATTTTTGCTAGAAAGCAATTAAGAATTGACAGAACATATTTAATTTCTTTTTTTGCTTATATTGGAGAGGACTTGTAAAATAGTAAAATTCACTCTCTGATGTGTGTGTGTGTGTGTGTGTGTGTTATCCACAAGTAACAAAGTAAAGTTTACCATTATTATGAAATTTACACTTGGCAACGTTCCCTTGTTAACAATATAATTGTGATATATCATAAAATCACAAGAGGAAATAGCACAATGTATTGCACATAATATAATATAATGCCAAATAATTTATAAACATTCATTTTTTTCGAACTTCGAAAAGACTGCAGTTTTATTATCTGTCGTAATGCCAGACTCAATCGTTATAGGCTTTCTACAATGAGCCATTACTTAAACTTTAGCTACTTTCTTTTTAAGAAGTCGACACAAACGTCGCGCGTTCCACATTTCTTGACATTTGATGAATAACAAAGATAGAACGGCGTTTGTGTCGGCTACGGTTTATTTGATGTTACAAACGCTTCAAAGCATTTTTTTTTTATTGGTCAGTCAAAAGGTTCGAAGCATTTGTAGCGCCCTGTGGACCACACCCTGTGTCTCCTAAATAAAAAGCAACCCTTAAGTCGTAAGAAATTAAACAATTATGTAATAGATTATTTTTCTCACATTCGATTATTATTGGTTAATTTCTTACGAATGGACTTAAAGCTTAAGTAATGGTTTATTGCAAAAAGCCTGTAAAGTCAGCGACACACGATGCTTATATTTTCCTGCCGGATTGCTAGCTGGATTAGATTCTCGCCACCGTATTGGCCGTATACGGTGGCAAAAATCTAATTCAGTTAATAGTCCAGCGAGAAAACAAGCGTCGTGCCGCAGGCTTAAAAGTTGAATTGAGTCAAATCTCGTACTATGAGTTTACGATAACTAAAATATTACGATGGGCATTACGATCATTGAAAGGTGCTCACGATAGACATTACGATTGATGTAGATACATCTTTAGGTGTTAATTTGGGCAAGCAATGACGAAATGTGACATTTCATGAAAGCACCTTGCCAGCACGGCGACATTCCAGACGCCGACGCCGGCATCTACAGTGCCTGCCGCGGTGTCGCTTTTTCGCATCAGCCTTCCCCTTACATTCACCATCATTATTGCGACCACTTTTCCCCCTGTGCCGTCCCCTTTTCAAATCATCGACCTTACGTTTTATCGCATCGCCGGCGTAGTCCATCTCCGTTTGTGGATGCTGTTCCAGAAAATCTTTTGTCGTAGAATGAGGTAGATTCGCTATATGCGACAAATCCCTGAAAATGTAAAGAGAAAACGTATAAGTAAGCAAATCGTGTAAGATGGGAAAAGTTACTCTCTCTCGACGAAAATTCAATATTATATTAATAATTGATATCTACGTTCGGATTTATCTTCCAGTCTCCTATATATGTAACTCATAATTATATCAATTGCACATTTCTTTTAAACTTTCGCGAAATTATTACGCTCACAGATCGATGACCCTCTACATCCGAGTTTAATGAACACCGAGAATTTAGCAAGACAAACACGCTTTTCGTCGACGTTAAAAATATGATAAACATGTCGTCTCTCTGATATGGGAGGCAAGAAAACAGGTTCATATGACGAAAAAATCTATAAACACTTGTGCAAGAAGGCTCGATTACGATTTTAGGTGAACAACAGAAAAAAAAAAAAACACAAATCGCACAATTCGATAAACTGAACGGACTGACCGCAAAACAGCGAAAGGGAAGGGGGAAGGAAAGAATGTTACGCACACAAAAGCGAATCGTCCTAGTACTTCGGACTAACCCTCCTGAGATTAATTCATATACAACCATGAACTTTTGGCAGAGATTATCACGGAAGCAATGATAACGCAGTCTCTCTCTCTCTCTCTCTCGGATTCTGGTCCACGCACTCTGAAGAGTACACGCTCTCTCTCTCTCTCTCTCTCTCTCTCTCTCGTGCATATTGATCTCCCTCCCTTTATAAATGTTCCGTACAGATCATCTACTAATCAGCTGACAACGCGAAATAAATGATTCAGCGTCAATATAAATAATTACATAATAATTCGTTATGCGTTGTAATACAATCGGCTATTTATACGTACAATTTATTCGTCTCGTGATCATAAATGGAAATACAATAAATTACTTTATATCAGTGTATCTATATCGTACAATATACATTTTCTATTAAGATTCAATCAGTAAGTATTAGAATGCTTTAGTAATACTGAAATGTCAAAAGAGACATTTTGATATTTGTGTTCCTGCGTTCGCGCAAAATAAGTCCAGTTATGTAGCTACGTGTCGTGACTTTTTTAAAGATTTGTATATATACAGAGACACACACACACACATATACAGAATATCTGTTTAAGAATTTCGAATAAGATTCTAACAAACTAGATCTTACTGCGTTAACATTTTTTCCTCAGTAGAAATATCGCTTTATATATATAGTAATGTGACATCTGAAGATGACTCAAACTTAGAGTCGAAACGTCATGTATTTTATATTTTATATTTATTTTATTATTTTATGTATATTTCAATTTATTTATTCATGCGCACGATTTTATTTATTTCTATAATTAAAAATAATATCATGTTATGACCTTGTGCTATGAAATTATATATTTGACTCTTATATGCCTTGGTCTATCTTTGTTTTTAAATACTAAGAGTCCTGTACATTCTTTTTTTATTTTTAAGATTCTTTTTAGTAATTTATTTAATTATTAAAATAAACGCGTTTAAAAGACATCCGGTATATTTAAATGAAAGCTATGAATAAGCGTGTATTCGAATTAAATACTTACAGATTCTAACGTAATTATTCGATAATATACAAAAATAAAAAGAAAAAGGAAAACATGTACAGACCAAGCCAAAAGAGTTTCGAAAACCTATTTAAAATTGACATTTTTGGGATTACTAATTCACATATATATTTAATGTGTTTTTAATATTTCTTTACATCTATAATAACTGTTATTAAATCTGAAAAATTATGTTGTTAAAAGAACACGTTGAATAGTTGAGTAAACAATCCCAAAAGTATTATTTCAAACTTTTGGCTTGGAGTGCAAAACAAAACAGGACAAACAAAAGGCAGTATAAAAAGATTAAATAACATGCAAAATATACAAAATTAAGAATATAATTTAGCAATTATAAATTTAGCAACGTATACTCGAAAGGGTACCAAAAAAAAAAAAAAGAAGAGCTAACAAGAACGTAAAAGATAAAAGAATGCACTAACTAACCACTCACATAGCGTCGCCCTTCGAGTCGGTCCGTTTCTCCGCGGGAAGAGGTTTGCAGTATTGTTCCATTTGTGCGTAGGTGCATTGATGATAACAGCACTCCTCGACAAGTCCCGGACCGGGATCGATTCTCGACTCATCCTCGTTGCTGTAGAACGGTTCGTTGTAGCCGCGATCCTTGCATATGATATGCAGAGCATCGCTCAGTTTTCTTGAGCACATTTTCTGCATCCGCTGATGCGACTTGTTGAAAATGACATTGTCAGCATCAGCGGCGTACAGGACACTCAGGAAAACCAACGCTGCGAGAAGCACTGCGTCGTTCATTGCACGATTGCCACTACGTATCATCGTGTTGATGTTCAAAAATTGATATCGATGTCAAAAATTGTATACTTAGAGAATGTAGCCGGCGTCTCTGGTACTTGCGGGAATCTTTATACCTCGAAATGCACCTCGGTACCACTACCTTTGTAATCGCGTTCGCCGACTGAATTGTTATATGTATTTATTGTTTAAATAGCTTTTATTTTATTGCAGCTTATTATTTCAGTTTCACGACAGTTCCACGACTGCGGAGAAAAAACCCTTTTTCTGTATTCGGCCTTAACGCTGCGGTCTAAAGTTCTGTGATAATCTTAAGGAGTCGTTTCCACCAGCGAAATTTTTATTTCTCCTCCTCGCGCTTCTACAATTCTTTTGTGGTCACAAAAAATCGTGAAATGATGCTACGAGGCTCGAAGCCTTGAAAAGAGCTCCGCTGGTACCAAGTTCGTTGATATAACTGGCACCGGGCCGCCTCACCACGCGGTTCTTGTTCCAGATTTCAGGGATCAGGGGGAGCGAGGTATGATAAGGAGGGAGTAGCACTGGTGTAGAGGTAGGAGAAGAAGAAGAAGAAGAGGAGAAGGAGAAGGAGGAATAGAAGCGCTCCGCGCGGTGGTAGAGTTTCTGGTAGACGAGTTTCCGCCGGTGGTCGGCGACATCGACGCAAAGAAGAACGGAGAGAGATCGGTTGGACGCACCAAGCGGATGGTACACACAAATTCGCTTTTTCACGCTATTCGCAAAGGGGGGACTCATTTCTCACCCCCCGAAAGCCGCGGATAGGCGGGATGAAAGCCGACGACGAGATTCGCTCTCAATTCGAAAAATGGCGCGCACTTGACGCGCCACATGAGAAGTAGATACATTTCTCAAGTATAACGTATACATATAATGTATTCTTTTGTTGGACGAACTTTCGCCCCTTTTGTGCCGGCCGGCCGGCCGGGCCCAAAATCCGCCGCGCCGCCGTCTGCAGCTCATCTCGCGAAGGCAGACCCATTCTCTACTTTCCGCCAGCTATTCATTTATCACTCACACAGTCGCACTTCATCCCTCCGTCTCCTTTTCTGAACAAAGCAATCTTTTTATCGGAGATGCGAAGAGCGTTGTCCCCCCCGTATATAGCGAAGTCTGCGAAGTCCCGCGATCTCTCTTCGCGCCGCGACTGAACACTAGACAGTTATACGATACCGCGTTATACTATTGTATCTCGCGAGTCCAACGAATGCTCCGTGATTGTGCTCGATGTAGGCAAATTCAAGAAACTGGCATGAGTAGGAAAAATACTGCGTATTAGACTGGTTATTTTGGATTCATTGGAGAGGAATATACCATCATCCTCTTAATTTGCCCCCTTTAACTCTCGGTCGGCAATATATAATTTTGCATTTTCCGTCAGCAATCTATAGGTTTGTGCAGTTTAAATTTCGGTGCAGATTTTTACATTATTTGGACTGTGTATAAAGATCTAAAAAAATTCTTGCATATTTGAAAAACAATACATTACCGGTAGAAAGTTAAAATAATTAATACAATAATTATAATACAAATATAGAAAGGGCGATGTAAGAGTCAAAAGTAAAATTTCATTTACAAATAATACAATGTACATGTTTAATTTTAAATTTGGAAAATAATATAATATAAATATAAGAAAATATAAAAAAAATAGAATGTAAATATAAAAATTACTTAAAGATAAGACATGATGGACATTACGTAAAAAACAGTTAAAATAGTTAATATTAAAATAGTTAATAGATAATATTATGCACAGCTGTGTATGGTAAAATTTACAAAAACAAAAAAATATTTTTCACGCGTCTATATATAGCCGCAAGTTATTATTAATGCATAATCAATTCTCATGCAATGAAAATGTGCAACGATTGCGCTTTCTGCTCGGCGCAGTAGAAGAGTAAATAAAATCTCTAGTGGCGAATTGCGTTTCAGGATCGAGTGACACGTAAATAGATCGCGTTTCACGAACAATTGCAGGAGTATACTGTTAAATGTCTTTCGCCTCACTATCGATCACGCGCCTAGCACAAGGCACCGTTTTGAACGAAAGTGGAATAGCTGTCGGTTATGATTTGGTATCAATGAAGACAACCGTTCAGTTATCTCGAACTTATCGAAGACCGACGGGGTGCCGGCGATGATCGGCCACGGTATCGGGGATTCGCAACAACATGAAAAGATCACGCCAAGTGATCTGTGATTCCGATCGAAGACAAAGTGTGGTCCATTATCGGCGGCTTCAATTGATCGCCGCGGCTGTTTTGTCTCAGCCCGATATATCGGTCGCATTTTTTTTGCAGATAGTGAGGTCGCTCCCCACGACCTGCTATCCTCATTTTCTTTCTATACCGATTTTAGTAATTTCGATATCTTTTGACGAATATGGATATATCCCCTGCTGGATTGAGATATCTCGTCTATTCATAGAGCCAATAAACAGCACCTTAGTTTTAGCAAGTCTACTTGATAACGCTACTTTTGCGAAATTTGCCTAAAAAGATCGATACAGCATATAATCCTTAGCGAAGATAAAAATCGGAGCATAAATTCAACGTAAAAGGATAGTAACGCAAACATAAACGAAGCTTCTAGGATACCAAAATTGAGACTATAAAATATTAGAAAAGCATATATGTTTCTATTATATTTTGCAAGCTCAATTTTTGTTTTCTAAAAATTTCATTTACATTTCTATTACTATCCCTTATATTATCTTATATAATATCTCAATAACTGTGAATCTTTGTCCAGTTACTGGCAAATCGACAATACTTGTAACAACAAAAAAATGGCAGATTTGAAAGAAGAATTTAAATATTTTGTAAGAAGTAAAAACATATAACTTGAATAATAAAACAAATTCTCGGACTCCCAAGATTTAAAAATTAATTAATCAAACTAAGTATAGTAATAAACGAACGTGAGAGTCAAATCTGCAAGGTAAAAATTTTGCGTACAAATTATAATATGTATATTCATAATATCTTACATGATTCGAACGTTTCGACTCAATTCGAGTCATCTTCAGTGAAAATTACAATGCGGTATAAATGTAAATCAACTAACTGTCCCATATCCCTGAAAGCAGTGTACATCATATCTATAGAATTACTATAATAAGTTATTTTTATCTTACAACATAATGGCATAATTTCAGAAAATAAACTTAGGACACAAAAATAAATTTATGTAAACATTTGTTCTATCTAACCTTATTTCCAAGTTGTAAACGTTTATTATATTTTATTAATTTTCGTTACAAACTGAGTTAGCAGAACGTTTTCATGCGTCTTCATAAGCATCTTCGTGTTTTAATAAGTTCTTTGAAGACAGAAATATGTAAAGACGCTACAATACATAGTTCCATTATTGTAACCCGGAAACAAGGTGAAATAGAACAAATATTTACATAAATTTATTGTTCTTTTAGGGTTTGAAATTAATTTCTCTGAAATTATGTCCATGTAAAACACCCTATACATTTCCAACAACACAATTTATTATTTGCTAAATATGTATAGAATATGACTTGTATATTAGATCGCAGACAAATATCGATAGATTTTACGTCGCAGGTTTAGCCTGCGACCGTCTTTTATCTAACAGATAATTGCAGGCGTGTGATATCGTGATATTTTTTTTTTTCAACAGTCACACGGTATCGAAAGAAGTGCAACAACCAAAATCATTATCGTAGACTTTGACACATAAACTCTGTGACAAGTCAACGACTCGCGCGTAAAGGAGTGTTCGATAATCGAGCCTCGGTGGCATTTATCGCTGGAATATGAGAATTTTCAAGTATAGAAAAGAAAGCGCGCGGTGCGTTCGTCTCGTTTATTTATAGACCCAATCGCAAGTGTCTGCCCATGCGGTGAAACCGCAGTCGGATAGTTTTACATTTGCGTCACGTACGTACGGCATGTAATCTTTCTTTTCCTTTCATTCTATGCTCTTTCTTTCTGCATCGCGCATATAGTTGGGATGCACCTGGCAGAAAGTGATTATAAAAGCCGGTGGAATCGCGATCGCGGTGGTGAGGAAGAATTTCCCTGGGATCGCACGTTCTTGCGTGACATACAGATGCGGGAGGATGTCGATGCATGCGGAACAGCCAAGGACACGCTGCGCCACGTGCTGCAAACTACTATCGTGGCGATGCACTCGCTTACACGCGCGCACGTGATTTCTAAGTGCGCGCCGTTGTAATAGCGGCCACTTACTGGGTCTATTGAGTCTTAAGTGAACCGCCTGCACATGGCGCAAGGAGAGGTGCGAGCCGCGCCACTTTAGAAAACTCGTGGAAAACTAGCCTCAAGTGGCCACACGTGGATCGTTAGGCCGTCCCGCGCGCGAGACGACCGCAAGAGGGGAAGAGATCTTAAGACGAACCGATTTCACGCGCGAATCATGATGTGAATCAAAAGTAGAATTATGCGTTTCCGAGAAATGTAAATGCATAGAGCAACGATGATTGTTAAGTTAAATTGAGCTAAATCTTTCTTGTCATCAGGTAATTATATCATTAAGGCCTGATTATACGACGTTCTTTTACTTGACAACTAGCGTGCCAGTCTTCTATGGTGAATTTAAAAAAAAAATTGTAGCAACTAAAAGTTTTATAATTCATCATTTCACATATTTTCATCCTCAGTACGTCAGAATTGAGTCATTAAGAAATTATCAAATTTGAATGTGGCAAATGTCTATGATGTAAAATTATATTAAACAAGTAATCAAAAATTATATCTTATAAAAACATGTTGGACAAAAGTGTGTGACTTACTTTAAACGAACCCAAACGGATACACGTTAAAGCTTTTGGATCACATTCAATTAGCCCCACCGTTGCACCCGTTATAAAGAAAGATAAGTAAAGTTATCGGATTTTGTAACCTAATCGGACCTAAACGATGGAATCTTTTTTTATACACTCGTTTTCTTATATTTTTTGATATATATATGTACTGAATCTCATTTACACAAATATTTATTTTAAAATA